GCACTGTGCCAGGCTGCCACAGCAGCCGCGAGTAACAGCACCGCGCACGGCGCCGTCGCCGCGTCGTGCGCGCAGCGCTGGCGCGGCGGCGGCGGCAGCAGCGGCTGCACGAGCGACAGCGACACGGTCGAGTTGCGCACCGCGCGCAGCGTCGGGGATGTGAGGTACAGGACCAGGAACTCGAGCAAGAGCGACAGAAGCAGCAGCGAGACGGCGAGCGCGGCGAAGCGCGTGCGGGGGACACGCGAGGCGCGCAGGTCGCGCGACAGGTGCAGGTAGTGCGAGAGCGAGAAGGCGGCCGTGGAGAGGCCGTGGCGCGTGCGGCGCAGGAGCAGCGTGCCGAGGAGGGCCTGCATCAGCAGCAGCAGCAGCAGTGAGAGGAGGGAGAGGAGGAGGTCGTCGTTGGAGGTGAGGTCGGTGTCAAAGATGGAGGTGCGGCGGAGAGTTACCGGCATCTCCGAGCGCAAGAAGGACGCGACGTCGCGGGGCGCGTCGGTCATGGTGGCGGGTGGCGGGGACAGGTATCGCGCCAGCAACTGGCGACCGCCGCGTAGGTCATGAGGCCGTGGTGCTTCGCGCTTCGGCGCAAAGCGAGACGGGGATGCGGATGACGAGGCAGGCGCCCCCTCCGCGTTTCACGGTCTATTGTCCCAGTGATGTATTGGAGTGATCGGATAGATGGCACGTCAGGGCATTTAGATACGGCGATAGGGCAGGGCGGTGCGGTACGCGCCTTGTCGGCTCGCACGCTCTCCCGTACTGCACACGTGGCGGCGCAAGAGGGGCTGCGGCGGGCAGGCCGGCGCATCCCGCGCGACCGTCGTATGCCATGCGGCCCTAAGTGGTGGGGGGTCATACGTGTCATCTGGCCGCCGTGACAAGGCAGGAAGGAGGGCGGCGGGTGCATGGAACGGTGGGTGGCAGAGCGCTCGAGCAGACGGGTTGTACTGTACCCTTGAAGGGTACTGTTGTAGGATGGGACGGCATGGCTGCGAAGAGGGATTGGATGGATCTGGGGAAGAAGGGAGTTAGGGAAGGCAATGTTGTTCAGCATGCCATGCTGGGCTGCCGCCTCTATGTCATTACAGGGGGGGGGGGACGCGCAATAGTGCCGCTTTCATTATTGCCACCCTCGAATTAGTGCCGCCAAAACCGGCAGACACAGGTTCTGCCACGTGTCGTGCACGACGTCGCCATCGGCCACTCCTCATGCGCCTCAGCTCAATTGGTGACGTGATGGCACCTCACTCAAAGACCCTAACATAAGTCCTGAAAAGATCGCCAAAGCGAAGCGTACGCGCCTTACGATTGCACAGAAAATCGAGGTTGGGCATCTGCTGCAGGTCGGAAAGTTGGTCGAAATGAAACAGAAATTGATAAATCTATGGTGGATGGTATAGTGGTGTTTCTCTCCCGACTGAGCCTGGTGCCAGAAGACGGCCTTGCAGAAACTGCAGAATTCTGCAGGAAAGATGTGGAGGAATGGATTGAGATTGAGACTAATGAGCTTGTGGCAGAAGCTTCTATTAGTGATGCTTGCGATTCAATACATTATGGTGGAGAGCTACAGAATCAATCTGCCAGTGATGCTATGATGGATGATTGTGTGGCAGAAGACGAGTGTGAAATTACGGAGAGGCGGGCCGTACCGAGTGCTGTAGCCGAGTGCTGTAGTGCTAGCAAGGTCGATTGGGTCTTTGGAGAGTCTGGGTGTGGAGTGCGATGTGAGCAATGCCTTATCGCACTTGAGGTCCGCAAAACGAGCTTTTCTAGAAGCTAGGCATGAGAGACAGGGTGGTCAAAGGCAACAACAGCAGACTCTAATAACAGAGTTCTGGCCGGGTAGTGATTCTGCTTTCTGATTGTGCCGCTCCGAATTAGTGCCGTATTATTAGTCCTTACACAGGGCGGCACTAATGCGTAGGGTCGACTGTACCGTCATTATTGTTTGCTCTTGCGCCTAAGCATAAGTTGCTCATTCTGTAACACCCCTATGCTCGCCGGTGTTTGCTTGCACGCCGTGCTCGCGTGTAGTCCGAGCGTGTATCGTGCGCCGAAACGGTCGGTGCTCGCATGTCCCTTAGAACATCTGCAATTGCTCGGTCAGATAAAGGCCGATTGCGCCCGTGACTGACACGTGCATACATCGCACACAGTCGCGTATGATTCTAACAACTGTAAAGTTTACGAAAGGTACTTCGCTGGGAGAATCACAATTCAGATTTTCACTTCGACGGTGAGCCACGGAGCCCTGCAGACGAAAGCGGTGCGTGGGGGCGGCGGGCGTGGAGTGTAGGAAATATTTGCAATGAGACCGAGAAGGATCTGTGGGAGGGGACCCGATTTTTGGCGGGCGTGTTGCCACGCGGTGTGAACGCGGTGTGAAGGATCTTATGTTGCTGTTCCCCACTTGAGGCTGCTGCGGCCACGGTCACGAGGCGAGCGGTAAGCCGGTGCGGCAGAGCTGTCGGAGGCCTACTGAGGGATGGGCTCTTGCCTTTAATGGAAACGGAGTACCGCCAACGTACAGATGAGTGTTTTCGATTAACACCGAGTCGATGTTGGCCACAGGTTTCGGAGATTCGCCCGCAACTCTGCCGTCGCGCTCCGTCCTCCTCATTTCCTGTCTTCCTCTCCGGCTGAAAGAGAAGGCCATCGCGGCGAAGACGAATGCACTACTGTACACGTGTCACTATCGTCGTGTAATTATTATATAATAATAATTACACCCAAAACAATTACGCCAGAAATATGTTACATTACGCTGCCTATCCATGTGGTCAATACTCCATGTGGTACCTCTCCCCCACTACCCTCGCCTTCTACCCCGCCCCCCGAAGACGGCGAGGGTGAGTGAGACCTTCTCACTCACCCTCGTCCCGCGTACTACCGTCTGATCTGTCCCGCTGCAACGCCGCAAGTTGGGCTACCGCCTCCGCGTTGTTGTCTTCCTCGACTGCCATCCCGTACAACTGTATCGCCCGATCCGTGTCGCGGGCCACCCCGTCCGCCCCGTCCCGCATCATGTTTCCAAGACACACCATTGACTTGCTCTGCTTCCGTTCCTTGATGTCTATCTCAAACAGCTCCACCGCACGCACCGCATCGCGCTCCACCCCTTCCGCTCCGTCCCTCAACGTCATCGCAAGATTGCAAGTCGCGTTATCGGAATTTCCTTTCGCCATTGCACGATCATACAATGCCACGGCGCGCACCGCGTCACGCTCCACTCCTTCGGCACCTTCTTGGAGCAAAACACCGAGGTTCACCATGGCACCGACGTGGTCACCCTTCTCGATAGCGCGCTCAAACAGCTCTGCTGCTCGCACGGCGTTACGCTCTACTCCTTCGGCACCTTTGTGGAGCAAAAGACCGAGGTTGTGCATCGCCTTGACGTGGTCACCTTTCTCGATAGCGCACCCATACAGCTCTGCTGCTCGCACGGCGTTACGCTCTACTCCTTCGTCACCTTCTTCGAGCAAAACACCGAGCTTGTACATCGCATCGACGTGGTCACCTTTCTCGATAGCGCGCTCATACAGCTCTGCTGCTCGCACGGCGTTGCGCTCTACTCCTTCGTCACCTTCTTCGAGCAAAACACCGAGCTTGTACATCGCCTTGACGTGGTCACCCTTCTCGATAGCGCACCCATACAGCTCTGCTGCTCGCACGGCGTTACGCTCTACTCCTTCGTCACCTTCTTCGAGCAAAACACCGAGCTTGTACATCGCCTTGACGTGGTCACCCTTCTCGATAGCGCACCCATACAGCTCTGCTGCTCGCACGGCGTTACGCTCTACTCCTTCGTCACCTTCTTCGAGCAAAACACCGAGCTTGTACATCGCCTTGACGTGGTCACCCTTCTCGATAGCGCGCCCATACAGCTCTGCTGCTCGCACGGCGTTACGCTCTACTCCTTCGCCACCTTCTTCGAGCAAAACACCGAGGCGCACCATCGCCCTGACGTCGTCACCCTTCTCGATAGCGCGCCCATACAGCTCTGCTGCTCGCACGGCGTTACGCTCTACTCCTTCGTCACCTTCTTCGAGCAAAACACCGAGCTTGTACATCGCATCGACGTCGTCACCCTTCTCGATAGCGCGCCCATACAGCTCTGCTGCTCGCACGGCGTTACGCTCTACTCCTTCGTCACCTTCTTGGAGCAAAACACCGAGGTTGCACATCGCCTTGACGTCCTCACCCTTCTCGATAGCGCGCTCATGCAGCTCTGCTGCTCGCACGGCGTTACGCTCGACTCCTTGGGTACCTTTTGCGAGCAACACACCGAAGTCCACCATCGCACCGACGTCGTCAAACTCCTTGATCGCCTGCTCGTAGAACTCTGTCGCTCGATCCGTGTCGCTAGCGACGCCGCCTGCCCCGTCCCGCATCATGTCTCCATGACACACCATGGATTCACTGTCCTTCGCGATTTTGGCCCTTTTGTTCTGTCGTACTCCGCTGCTCAATAGTATCTCCTGTACACGACGCTCTGAAATAGAAAGTTGAAGCTCTCTTTTCAAGGTCCCCGCGCTTTTGTCCCCCTTGGATGCCTCACTTATAAGACGATGAGTGTCGGCAGGAGATATCTTGGGCGGGCGGCCACCGGCGTGTTTGTTGTTGTACGCCTGCGGGTCTTGTAAAAATGTGTGGATTGCGTTCCGGGACTTACCCACGCGGCTGGCAATCTCAGTTTCGGAAATGCCTTCGCTGTGCCAAGCTAGGGCTTGATCTTGCTGATCGGGAGTCAATTTCTTTCCTCTGGGCATTTTGTTGTTTGTGGCAGTCCTCCGTAGGTCGGGGTAAGGCCAAAGTAGAGATGGGAATGACAACAGAAGTTGTTTATGGTTCGTTTTTAGACCATCTTCACCGCAAGTCTATTGCACGTTTTATATTTTTTCTTTCAGCAATGACCAAAAAATGAAACCCCACCACAATTTCAATCAATTTCACAACTACTACCCTTGGGTACAGGGGGTATCCTCCATAGTGCGTACTTTGTTAGTACATTCATGTCAACAGTGCGATTTTCATCACATGTCACGTATTCCGAAACATGTACACGTGTACCCGCGATTTCATTAAATCATGTTTTTGCCAGATAATGCTGCAAAATGAAAAAATCACCACTTCGGCCTTCTTCAGGCGACCCACCGATAATCGCGATCAACCATCGAAATCGAGATCCCCCATGCCTTCCTAGGGTCCCTGTAGCCCATCTCCATCATGGCGATGTAACGTGTAAGTCGTGGCTACCATTGTCTGAAGTCGTTTCTTCATGAAGAATCATGAAGTTTCTCAGTTTCTGCATGAATAAACAAGCAAAAAGCAAAAATGAAAAAACAACCCGAAATCGCGGACGTGTACGAAGGGCATCCCAGCATTGAGATTGAAGAGAGACAGTTCATGAGCTTTGCTGTTGCTTCTTTAGGGCGAGACGTCAACAGTTCGTCTTGGGGGGTCTGGCATGGGGGTACACTATTGAGGGGGGTCGACTGTAATTCTCATGTTTGTGTGTGTGTGTGTGTGTGTCTGTGTCTGTGCGCATTTCGCAAATTTCGGCACTTTTTGGAAAATAACCTGCAGGCCCAGCCGTCGCCACTTTCCCCGACGACACACGGCACGCACTGCATATCGCGTAAGAACGGGAGAGGGATGAGGAAACCTCGCTGTGCATTATGCACAGCGAAGTTTCCTCATACCTTCCGCCACCCCCAGCAATGACAGTTGATGTCAAAATTTGAATTACAGAACATACTGTACCGGTCTTTAGTTTCCTCGCCCCGGGAACCCGGTCTATAGTTTCCTCTTCCTCGCCCCCAAAATATACAGAAAACCGGCCTATACTGTAGACAGAAAACGGGACTATAGTTTCCTCGCCCCCCCGAAAACTGGTCTATAGTTTCCCCGCCCTATAGTTTCCTCGCCCCTCGCAACTCCGGTCTATAGTTTCCCCGCCCTATTGTTTCCTCGCCCCCCGGAAACCCGGTCTATAGTTTTTTCCTCAGATAGTGATGAAGCGCGAGCACATGGAGCGCTCACCGAAGCTGTGTCGTGCCCCGCAGTATAAGAGCGCGATGTCAACCGCCGCAGTTCGTCCCCTCCCCTTCTCCCATCCGCTCCAACCCACCACTCCCTCCCTCCCCATTGCAAACAGACGCCCCTACCGCCGCCCGCCTCCTTCTCCCGCCAGTTCTCCCGCCAGTTCTCCGCCCAGCTATGGCTGAGCAGTCTTCCCTCCGGGCCGTGCTGAACCCCACTTTTGGACTCGTCGGACCTATCCTCGCCACTGTCATCGGGGTTCTCCTCAAGTGGGCTTTTGACTCCTGTCACCGTCGAAGATCACGTGCACCTGCCCAGTCCGCGTCCGACCCTCGCTCTCGCGTAGTCGTCGACGCCGACAGCGGCGCACATGTCGCCATCATGGTCAACTCCATCGACGACGCCTCGGATTGCTAACCCTTTCGGACCCTCATCGTGTCCATCCCCCTTCCCTTGCATGCCTCGTGCGATTGCATGGGAAGAAGAAGATGATGAATCGATGCTCTTTTACTCCGAGACACCCTAAAAGAAATATTTTAATAAACGTAGTGTTGCGATGTGGGGCCGTGTGAGTGCGCCCTGATTATTGGTTAAATGTGGGAGTGGCAGTTGAGTCCAGTGCGATGATTGGCCTGATCCCGCGTTTGTTGGCAGACATGCCATGCACCCACTTACCCCCTCCGCTCCATCACACCTTTGGATAGTACCTTGTCTTCCCCTGCGGTGGGCTTCTACGCTATATGAAACCATACGGCGCGTGTTCCATGTATCGGTAGTGTCGCTGTGCACAGGGCCTTTGCTTTCAATTGATGTGTTCCTTTCCACGCTTTCATCATCGCCACCCGTCCAACTCGCTCGGATTCTCATTGCGTTCGTAATCATTTTATCCGTTTCTGCCAGGGCTCCGCAAGCCTGACGCCGCCTTTGATTGCACCCAGCGACCACAGAAATCCGTGCCAAAACACTCCACGGAAGGCGCTCTTTCAAACGTACACAAGTCTTTGCAGACAGGCGTTCGAAGCATGCCAATGGGGCCAGCCACGGATGAGAATCGCACAAGTTGCCTGACCGCTTCAGTGAACAAGCCAGGTGAGAGCCCAACGTCACCTTCGAGCGTCGAGCTGTCTGGAAAGGCGATACAATCTGGTCCATATTTGGGAGCAGCACATTCCTTCGCGCGACCACTGCCTGTCACATCCTCAAATCCTGCGCCAGTCGGCCACGCCGCTTCAGTTTCTCAGACAAATCATCGTCCAACGTGCGCGCAATCTGGAGCACTGGGCGCGTCGGGGCTCCTCGTCGCCTCCTCATCAGCTCATATCTCCCCGAATTTTCCTTGTGAGGCCCTTTGCTCAACATCAGATCTACCCGGCCGTCGCCGCCAGAATCCGCCACGAGCGCCTTGTGCCCTCGCGTTTTGTGCCCTCGCGTCTTGTCCGCCTGGGGAGCACCTCCAGCAGCCCAACCCTGCGGAAACCCCCTCGCCCACGCTCTCCTGCGCGAAAAACGTGCCCCCCACCTTTTGCCAGCGGCACGCACAGTTCGCAGCAAACGCGCATTTCCGCCAACCACCGTGCCACGACCGCGTCATACCGTCCCCGATGCATCTGACTCTACCCGGCGTCCTCCGCCCTCCTCCCACACGGACGCGACGCTGGGCAGGGCCAGGTCGCGCCTGACGAGGTCGTGGAAGCGCGTCTTCTTGCGCGCGGCCTCGAGCAGCGTGACGTCCCACTGCGGTCTCGCGATGGCCAGGACGAGCCCCGGGAACCCCGCACCCGTGCCGATGTCGACGACGCGCAGCGCGCCGGGCGCGGCAGCGGCCTCCGCGTCCAGCGCCGGTGGCAGGCTCAGCGCGTCAACGACGTGCTTGAGCAGCACGGCGTCGCGCGTGGGGATCGCCGTGAGGTTGTACCGCTTGCTCTCGCTCAACAACAGATCCGTCAGGCGTACGAGGGCGTTGAGCCGCGCCACGTCCAGGCGCTGCGAGTCGGCGGCGTGGCGCAGCACCGCGAGCGCGGGGGCGATACTTTGCTGCGTAACGCAAGCGCGCAGCGCCACGCGCCGCCGCCGCAGCGCGCGGCATGTGGGGTCGCAGCACGTGACGCGCGCGCTGAGTCGGCAGCGAGACGGCGAAAGCGATGCGGCAGGCGGTGAGCCACGGAGCCCTGCAGACGAAAACGGTGCGTGGGGGCGGCGGGCGTGGAGTGTAGGAAATATTTGCAATGAGACCGAGAAGGATCTGTGGGAGGGGACCCGATTTTTGGCGGGCGTCGGCGGGCGTCGGCGGGCGTCGGCGGGCGTGTTGCCACGCGGTGTGAACGCGGTGTGAAGGATCTTATGTTGCTGTTCCCCACTTGAGGCTGCTGCGGCCACGGTCACGAGGCGAGTGGTAAGCCGGTGCGGCAGAGCTGTCGGAGGCCTACTGAGGGATGGGCTCTTGCCTTTAATGGAAACGGAGTACCACCAGCGTACAGATGAGTGTTTTCGATTAACACCGAGTCGACATTGGCCACAGGTTTCGGAGATTCGCCCGCAACTCTGCCGTCGCGCTCCGTCCTCCTCATTTCCTGTCTTCCTCTCCGGCTGAAAGAGAAGGCCATCGCGGCGAAGACGAATGCACTACTGTACACGTGCCACTATCGTCGTGTAATTATTATATAATAATAATTACACCCAAAACAATTACGCCAGAAATATGTTACTTTACGCTGCCTATCCATGTGGTACCTCTCCCCCACTACCCTCGCCTTCTACCCCGCCCCCCGAAGACGGCGAGGGTGAGTGAG